TGTGCCCACGACTTGCTCCTAGGCTAGGCCTAGAAACGGCCTGCCTGGGTCCCTACCGGACGTCCGGGCCCTCCCTGCTGATGCAGCAGGGAGTGTCCGCTATCGGACAAACCTGAAGCTGGCCTGAAACAGTCTGGTTCCTAACGGAGAAGGCCCAAAACGTGGCCTTTGTCCGAACAGACCGTAAGTCTGTTCGGACTAACTGCAAGTCCGAAATGACCCCCGAAACAGACAAAAATAGAACAGCAAATAATTTGAAATAAATAAATAAATGCTGCCTCAAATCGAACCCTGCAGCCCTTAAGGCTGGCAGTGGGCCTCCAGGGCTCGTGCCTAAATGGTGTGCGGCCTTGGGGGCCCCAGCAACCGTCTGGCCTCTGAAACGGGGCCCGTGTGCAGGCTCTCTCTCTCTCTCTCTCTCTCTCTGGCTCTCTCATGAACCCACACTTCCCCCACCTGCACGTGCGACGAACAGGGTAGTGTTTTTTTTTTTTTGTTTTTTTTTTTTTTTGTTCGGTGAAGATGCATCTGTTTTTCTGTTTTTTTCTCTTTTTTTTGCTTGTTCTCCACTACCGGTAGATGCAGGTTCGGCGAGGTTCTGCGTACCGGTAGCCATAGGGTAGGAAAAAAAGTAGCTCTAGGTACTGGTGGTTTAAGCGGCATCAGCGGCGGGGTGACGTCCATGGTTCGGTTTTCTACCGGTTTGTTCACAGTGTGCCAGTTAGCGTGCTGAGCCGGTTTTCTACCGGTTTGTTCACAGCACACCAGTTAACGTGGTGACAGCAGCCACGTGCGCAGTGTGCGATGAGCATCGATCGATGGGAATATCTTGCAAGGGGACTGCCTGATAGCCGGCTGCCATTGTTTTGTGGGGTGGTTCCCGCCCGTCGTTTTGTGGCATTTTTTTTGTCTTTTTTTTCCCCACCCGTCGGTTGTGCCCCACATTCTGTGTTGTTGTGTGTGTGGGGGGGGGGGAGAGGAGGGGGGACCCATTTCTTGCTCGCTTGCCCACCCACATGCATGTGTGTGCCTGCCCACCCACCCACCCGCCCGCCTGCCCACACATTAACATTTTGAAGTTTGCTGCTAACTATTGTAGTTGGGGTTTCAACCCATGCACAACATTTAGGAACCCAACTGCTGGATGAGATAACCGTTGAAGTAGATTGGGTCCCTGTGTGAGTGTGTCTTGATCCACCCACAACGTTTGAGTGTGTCGGAGAGAACAGGCTGCGTCTTAATCCGCTTGAGTGTCTAATGGTTAGTTCTCAAGTAGAAAAACCGTCCCAACAAATAGTGCCTCCAGTGGACAAGAGCCTTGTAAAGGGCATAAAGTTCCCTTTCGTAGGTGAACTTCACCAACATCTTTGATGACATCTTCTTGCTCATGTACTCGATGGGCCTCAACTTTTTCCCTTTCTGCGGGGCCAGCATTGCGCCTATGCCATATTGGCTTGCGTCAGTGGTTACAACGAATGGCCTCTCCGGATCGGGGACCATGAGAACCTTATGATGCATGAGGGCATGCTTCAGTCTTTTGAAAGAAGCCTCGCATTTGTTTGTTCATTCCCATGGTGTGTCAAGGCGTGTAAGATCAGTCAAGGGGGTGACCATCGTACTACAGTCCTTCACAAAGTTGCGATAGTAGTCGGTCATCCTTAAGAAAGATCTGACCTCGGTCACAGAATGAGGTCGTGGCCTGTCACGAATACTAGCCATCTTGACATCTTCGAGCCTTATCCTTTCCACGGATATTTCATGACCCAAGTACAAGATTTTAGTGGGACTGAACTCGCGTTTCTCTAAATTAATCTTATATTTGTATTGTCATAGGAGTGAAAGTATTGTTTCTACATGTTGGGCATGCTCCTCGACTGTTCTACTGAAGATAAGAATATCGTCGAGGTACACAACGATGAACTTATCCAAGTAGTCATGAAAAATCATATTCATGGCATGTTGGAATGTGTCGAGCGCATTGCAAAGGCCAAAGGGCATCACCACAAACTCGTACATGTTGGTCCTCTAGTCTAATGGAAGTCTGATGGTAGCCGGATTTAAAGTCTATCTTGGTAAAGTACCTACATCCGTGGACGCTATCCAACAGGTCGTCGATGCGTGGTAGAGGTTTTGCGTTCTTAACGGTGATGGCATTGGGGCCTCTATAATCAATGCACATCCTCAGTGTCCCCCTCTTCTTCGAGACAAATAGAACTGGTGAGCCGAAGGGGGAGGTGCTAGGCCGAATCCAACCCTTCTCTGTGAGCTCTGTCAGTTGCCAACGAAACTCGTCCAACTTGGTCGGAGCCATCCCATAGATTCTTCCGTTCGCTGTCTTGCTACCCGGGATTTTATGGCATGGACAACCACTACGTCCTTGACATAGTCATTTACAAAAATGCGCTCTTTGTTGGCCAGGGTAGATGGTAAAGATCTACCCAAGCGCTGCATCCGGTCTCCTAGGCGCAGTCTCTCAACGCAGTTGCGACTTTTGAAGTTCCGCGTGGAGCCAATGTCTACGAAGGCACCACACTTGCGGCCACCTACACCAACTTCCTCGACGAAATGCTCCCCTCTAGGACCTCTAGATGGTGCCACCCAAGACTCACGAGGGCCCCTTGCTGACCACTCGGTTTCCAAGTCTTCCAAGGCCTCAGATACATCTAACGAACAGAGTGTCGTTTAGCCCATATGCATCTGCGGGGTGACTAGAGAGTCGATAGCTTCGGCCAACTCCTGAAGTGGTGAGGGTACATCAACCACTTCAGCATGAGTAGAAGCAGCTATTACTTCTATTGAGTGGATGTGTTTCCCTGATTGGAGCTCGTAGAGGCACCACTCTAGGCGAAAGATCACCCAGAACCACCTTTGGGAGGAATCTTTTAAGAGACTTTCGCGTTCTTGCATTTGAACTGTTGATGGCCATATTCGCTGTTGTTAAACCACTAGTACCTCCGAGCCTTTTTTTGCCGACCCTGAATTTCACTGCGCTCCAAGTTTGTCGTGCCTAGATACCACTCCATTTTCTTTTTGGTACTCTCACGGAAAGAAGAAAAAAAAAAAAAAGGTTGCGGCCATGAAACTCAAAAAAAAAAAAAAAAAAGGAAACTAAGCTTTGGTCGTGATTGCAGTTGTATACATTCTTGGAAGTGGTAGTGTGAGTGTGCCCTCAACGACGACATCTTAGCCCCGTGGCCAGGTTGTGAGATTCGAAAAGAGAATAGAAGGAAAAAAAAAAAAAACGGGCACACGGATCCAACCGTGAAAATGGTTGGATACATTCCCCTAAGAGCCAGTGTGATGAGTGTTACAATCCTCTGACAAAACACAACTTGAGCAGATCACGAATTCCGCCCTACCTCGTTGGCAGGGAACTCGTAAGAAACACACGACAAAAAAAAAAAAAAAAAACAGTAACATTCAGAATGTGACCGCCTTACCTGTAAGGTGCATTCTGTGGAGGAAGAATGTGAGCACGGCCTCCTATACTACCCTGCCCGACATCATTGCAGTAGAGAAAGCATTTTTTTTTTCCCTTTTCCTTTAACTTGCGGGCACTATAAAACTCAGATTTATGGGACATTGCTGACCCTGTGTCCCACCCCCGATTTCTTCGGGAACTGGCAAAAACTCATAATTTCCCAACACTGGCGGAGGTACTAGTGGTTTAATGCAAGCTCCTCACGAGTACCGGTTCCTCCACACATCCTGATCCAGGCCATCCCTCACCCAAGCCGCTATCTTATTTGAGTTTTGAGCCTGCCCCTGACTCTTTTGTTGACTGCCTTTGTCACGACCAACTTCCTTTTGTTTGGTTATGCCGCCGAGGTTGCCACCCTCTCCCTTCTCCTCGCCACCTATCTTTGTTTCCTCTACAAGATCAGAGAGATCATCGATCTCGGTTTGATTCCCATCAGAATCAACCATCATCAATCGACTACCCTTCTTTTTCCATTCTTGTGGGGGCTTCTTTTTCCTCCCGTTTGTAAGAGGTTGCTGTGCTCCTCTTAGCTTGGCCTCTAAATCTAAGGCCTTTTTGCTGAAGGAGTCAAGAGTATGATACGATGCTAGGGTTCTTGATGTCTGTCGGAAGACATCGAAGATACATGGTCAGTAAGACTTGTGGATCATAGTGGACACCCGGGACAACTATGAGTTTATCCACGGTGGCGGTGAGCTCACGCGTGGACTTGTACCTTTTGGTATCAAGCCGGGCCAATGCATCAATGGCCTGCTGGGGCTGTTGGGGCTTGTGCCATCATGTCTCAACCAATTCCATGAGACTCTCCAATGTGTGGGTCTTTGCCCAATCATTCATTCGCCGGCCGTATCCCTCAGATGCCACTATTCCATCTAAGCCATCTTGCTCCCGATCCCTCAAGGTATGAGGCGGTTGTGATCACCTCTTCTTCCAACAACGTCCTCTTCGCCCTAGCCCACACTGGAACCATCCTCAACCATGTGTCAAGTACCTCGTCCTTCGTATCTCCTGAGAAAGACGGGTGGTTTCAGTGGGGTCTTGGGGTACCAAGCCTGTTGTAGTCCCTTTTGTGGAACTGGCTACTGTCCTGTAGCGGCAAAAGTTGGACCTTCTCCGATCTCGTTGAGGACCAAGCACAACACGATCGGCTTGTTAGATGTACAGATATGGCTGAAAGTCTGAAGTAGGTGTACGATTACCAAAATGTGCCTTTGTACTTAGTAATCTTTGAATTACCTTTTCTGAATTGAACATCGTTTGATTTTGTTTTTGTTTAGGTAGCTCAGTTGGTTAGAGCAAAGGACTGAAAATCCTTGTGTCAGTGGTCTATGGTCCCCGGAATGAGTTCGTCATTCCAGGTGTCTTTCATGCATGCTCCACGCATGAAATAAGTCATGTCCGTCTCGTTCCAAAATGTGCCTTTGTACTTAGTAATCTTTGAATGACCTTTTCTGAATTGATTGCTTGGAACAAACCCGCCTCAACACCATGATCTTTTCTGCTTGTGCCGGAACCAGACGATTCTAGCTCAAGTTTATCGTCGTCTCCCTCAGCGCATCGACGGTGAAGTTCCAGGCCCTCCTTGATATTGGTGCCACCGACAACTTCATCACCGAAGCCTGTGTCCGCAAAGCCGGCCTCTCTTCCATCGACGATGACTCCCCGATCACCATCCGACTAGGGGATAAGGACTCAGCCATCGTTGTCAATCGCACTGTCCCCGAGACCCTCATGACTGTCGGTCCTCTTCGCAGTCAGGTCTCCTTCGATGTCATGCTCCTCATGTGCGACATCGTCTTGGGGACTCCATGGCTTGACCGTTTCATGCCCTACTCCTTCCACCCCTCCTTCGTTCGACTCACCCGCCCTCCTAACTCTCCTCTTGATATCCCTTACCTTCTCCCCCCTTCTACCCCACCCCCTGTCTCCCCTCACCAATTCCTTCACATGTGTCGTGAACACCCCGACTCCGCTTACTATTGTCGTGTTATCGACCACGAGCGTCCCGAGGACTTGCTTCCAACGGACAAACCCGACCAAGACCCCCCTTCCAATCCTCACATCACCGCTCTCCTCTCTGAATTCAAGGACGTCTTCCCTGAGTCCTTGGCCGCCGGTCTACCTCCCGATCGAGGTGTATCCCACACCATTGATCTCAAGCCCGGCCATTTTCCTCCTTGCTGCCCTCCGTACCAACTCTCAGTCCCCGAGGCTGAAGAGCTCAATGAACTCCTTGAAAAAGGATTCATTAAGCCTAGCTCCTCCCCCTTCGGAACCAGTTGCCTCTTCGTCAAGAAGAACGACACCTCGGAACTCCTCATGTGCACAGACTACCGTGCCTTGAACCGGATCACGGTTTAGAACAAGTACCCACTCCCCCGGATATCTTAACTTCTTGATCGCCTCCGTGGAGCCAAATATTTCACCAAGATCGACCTCCACAGTGGCTTCCACCAGATCCGTATCCGCGAGGAGGACACCCACAAGACCGCATTCCACTCTCGGTTCGGGCACTACAAGTTCCTCGTAATGCCTTTCAGACTCGCCAATGCCCCCGCCACATTCCAGTCCACCATGAACTACATCTTCCGTGACCTCCTCGAAGTCTGTGTCGTCGTGTACCTTGATGACATCCTCATCTTTAGCGCCACCTTTGAGTCCCACCCTCAGCACATTCGCCAAGTCCTCTCGATCCTCCGAGAGCAAAAATTCTACGCCAAGCTCAGCAAATGTACGTTTGCCGCTTCGAGCGTCGAATACCTTGGCCACATTGTCTCCGCTGAAGCCCATCCGTATGGACCCCTCGAAGGTCACAGCCCTCGTCGAGTAACCCCCGCCCAAGACCCTCCTCCAACTCCTTCCTCAGCCTTGCCAACTATTACCGCCCGTTCATCCGCAACTTTTTCGAGATCTCTTACCCTCTCCACGAACTCGCATGCAAGGACAATCCCTTCAATTGGAACGATGGCCGCCAACACGCGTTTGACTTCCTCAAGCAAACCATCACCACGGCCCCTGTCCTCAAGATCGCCGACCCCACTCGCCATTTCTATGTCACCACTGATGCCTCCGACTTCGCCATTGGAGCCGTACTGTCCCAACATTTCCCCCACGAAACCGCCGAGACCCCCGCCATCAAGGACTCGCCCACTCACCCCGAGGCTCCACCCGACGAATACCCCATCACCTTCGCAAGCAAGAAGCTCCTTCCCGCGGGGATGAATTACCCCTCCAACGAGAAAGAACTCCTCGCCGTGATTCACGCCCTCACAGTTTGGCGCCCGTACCTCGACGGGCAATACTTCACCATCCGCACTTACAACACCATCGTTTCTTCCATTCTCACCAAGAAAGACATCACCCCACGCCAAGCTCGATGGCTCGATTCCTTGCCCAGTTCACATTCATCATTTGCCATACCCCCGGCAAAAGCAACCGCGTTGTTGATGCCCTCTCTCGACAACCAACCACAAGCCCCCCGAGAAAATCTACGCCACCATGACCCATATCCAGCTCCTCCCATCACTCCATCACCGATACACCCAAGGCTACCTCTCTTTCCCAGACTTCGCCACCATTTACAACAAGCTCCGCGATCTTGACCCAGTCCCCGATTACTCCCTCCAGGACAACCTCCTCTACATCGACACCAAAGGCACTCGCCGACTATGCATCCCTGGCACGCATGGTCTCCGTACCCAGCTCTTGGCCGAGCACCACGACGCCAAGACCGCAGGTCACCTCGGTTTTCAGAAAACCTTTGACACCATCTCCCGCTACTTCTATTGGCCGTCTATACTCACCGACGTCAAACATACATTTGCTCATGTCCCACGTGTCAGGTTGTCAATCCCTCGAACCAGGCCAAACCCGGCAAACTCCAATCATTGTCCATCCCCACTCACCGGTGGCAGTCCATTTGCATGGACTTCGTGTGCGGTCCCCCTAAGACCGACCGCGGACATGATTGCATCTATGTCATTGTCTGTTGTCTGACCAAACGAGCCCACTTCATTCCTTGCACCACCTCGCACACCGCCAAAGACATCGCCTTACTCTTCTTCGACCATGTTGCATGCCAACACAGCCTCCTCGAGAATATCATCAGGGACCGCGAACCCCGTTTCCTCTCACAGTTCTGGAAACAACTCTTCAACGCCTACGGAACTACACTTAAGTATAGCACTGCATTCCACCCATAAACCGATGGACAAACCGAGAAGATGAACGGTACTCTCCAAGGAATCCTACAGAAGTACTGTCATCCACATCAACACGATTGGGATCAGTTGCTCACCGCCGTCGAGATCGCCTACAACAAAGTTGTCTGTCCTTCCACTGGCATGTCTCCATTCTACCTTGACCTTGGCTACCATTCGCGCTTGCCCTTTGATTTCCTGCTTCCCTCGCAACTCAACCCCTCCACACCCTGCCGTTCCCTCAATGAATGGGTAGCAACAATGAATCGACTCCTCGGCAACGCAATCGAAGCCCTCGAGAGAACACAAGAACAACAAGCAAACAAGATCAACAAACACAGACGAGACTTGCAATTCAAAGTAGGGGACAAAGTCTGGCTCTCCGCCAAATGCTTTGAACCCGAACATGGATTGTCAAAGAAACTCTCGAACAAATGGCTTGAACCCTTCCCCATCATTGAAAAAACCTTCGATGTCTACAAACTCCAACTCCCCCCCCGACATGAGTCGCGTCCACCCAGTCTTCCACGTCGAATACTTGAAGGATTATCATGAATCCCCACCCCAATTCGCCGACCGCCAATATCCTAGACCTCCACCTATCATGTTACCCACAGGCTGAAGCGATCATAGGTCGACGAACTACTCAGGTATCTGACCACCAGGAACCAATCACTGAATACAAAGTCAAATGGACCGGATACCCCGACAAAGAATCTACATAGGAACCTCTATTGACTCTCAAGAATGCCATGAAGCTAATCCCTCTTCAAAATGTTTGAAGTCCCATGTCAAGTCTGGAGCCAAATGTCACCAAGCTCTCTCTCTCTCTCTCGTTGTCTGCTGATGCAGTGAAGTCAAATAGCGAGAGGGTGAGAAGGAGATGGTGGACTGAGAAGAGGAAGAAGAGAACTCTCTCTCTCATGTGTTAGGTACTAACCTATGAAGATGGCATTGTGCTACAGGTACCTCGAAGACAAAGCTGGAGCAATGGTGCTGCAGGTAAGTCCCTCTGGCCTCCACCCAATCTCTCTCTCTCTAGTACTACTCTAGCCGCTATGGCGCTCAGCGCTGAAGACTACAGCTAACGCTACTAGCGCCCAACGCTGAAGACTACTGCTAACGCTACTACTACTCATCCTACAACGCTCCTCCAGAGTGCTGCTGCCGAATCCTGAAGACTAATGACTGCCTCCTGCCTCCTGAACTGCACGTGAAGTGCCTGGGAAGTGCCTAGGAACTACCTGCAGCCTGCAGGGCGGGCCAGTCTTATATATTGCTGGCCCGTTCAGGAGGCTGCTCTTGCCAATGCCAAAATGTGCCAGACCCTGGGGTTGAAGCTCAAACAAAGGTTGTCTTGAAAATAGGCCAAAAATGGCCTGAGCTAAAACCCTAGTCTGGTGCCTGAGTTTCAGGGCAGGTCGATCTTATCCGTTTCAGGCTGAAAAGACTCAAGGCCGGAAAGGCCCTGATTTAGGCTGAAACGACACAAGGCCTGTAGGCCCTTGTTTTTAGGCTTTCAGGCTGAAAACGACACAGGGCCTGTATGCCCTTGTTTTCAGGCTTTTAGGCTGAAAGCAACACGGGGCTTGTAGGCCCTTGTTTTCAGGCTTTCAAGCTGAAAACAACACGGGCCTGAAAATGGCCCGTGCAGCCTGTTGCAGGCGCAACATGTAACACCCCCCCCTCCTTATGAAGTCAAGCCGAGTCGAGGGCGAAGCTGACGATCTGAAGGTAGAACCTGGACGCGGGTGCGACGTGGAGCCGAAGATACCGGCTTGCCTTGCATCTTGCGTTCGGGGTGCAGTACGCAAAGTATACCAAGTAGGCGAGCCGAACTTGGCTTGAGAGATGAGCCCCATCATTTGATGAGCGCCAACCAAAAATCGAACATAAACCGAGTGTCGCGGTTGTAGACGATTTCCTTGGGGTAACCCTTGGTTCGAATCCATCCGGCGTAAAGAACCTCGGCCAATTCCGGTGCCTTGGCATGATAGCGGCAAGGTAAAAAAACATGGCGAACTTTGTGAGTCGGTCGACCACCGTAAGAATCCCATCCACACCGGTCTTGTGCTTGGGGAACGGCCCGGTAATGTTCATGGTAATCGCTTCCCTCCAGCACAAGGGGACCGGTAATGGTCGCAACTCGCCGTACAGACGATGGTTGCAGGATTTGCAGCGTCGGCAAACCTCGCATGACTCGCAATAGCGTGTGACGTCGCCGAGAAGGCCGGACCACCAAAAGCGCTCGCGAAGTCGATGCACAATCGTAGATCCTTGTTCTTCTTCCATACGAAGAAAACTGGCGCTCCATATGGGAGCTACTAGGGCGGATCCAGCCCTTGTTCATCAAGTCATCGAGTTGCGTGCGGAGGACTGTAAGCTCCTCCTCGCTCATGCGACAAATGCAACCTTTCGGCGGCACGGCACCAGGCTCAAGAATGATCTCGTGAGAGATCGGCCGATCCGGCACCACACCGGTAGGTGACTCAAAGATGTCGGCGAACTCGTCAAGCAACCGTACCACACGGGGGTCCGAAGACAAGTCCATGGGTAAAGAGTCGGCTACCGCGACGGTCCATAGGAAACATAGGCCGATTTTGTCGGGCTGCTCGTAAGCACAAGTAGCCCGGAATGACTTGGCCGTCACCACTTGGCACCGAATCGAAGGGTGCGGAAGAGGAATAGTACACGGTACTTCGGCGCCGAAGGCGTCACGAACGGTAAGAGTCCACCGGTGGAAGTTGACCGTGTGATCCGCACTTGCAAGCCAAGACATTCCCAAAATGATGTGGAAGTCCGTGTCCAAAATGTCGAACGTTATCGGTTCGCATGCATGAGGTGCGAAATACACCGGTACGGCCTCGATGTAGCGGTCGATAAGTTGCTGCGTCCTTCCGTCCGCCAACTTGATCGTCGTCGGGTTTGCCTTCCTTCGAACTTGTGCACCAAGGCCAGCCTTTTGCGTAAAGGCTTGGCTTATGAAATTGCGAGACGCGCCGCTATCCAACAAAGTGTTGCAGGACGCTTGCCCAACTTGGATGCGGACATAGAGGAGCGGTGCGTTGTTGTCGTCGTACCGCTGATTGCGAAACTCACGGGCCACCTTGGTAACATACGCAAGGATGTCCCCCACCGCGACTTCGTCATCCATCGGCGAAGTTGGTGGTGCATAGAAGGATAAGTACGTGTGAAGATGAGCGCATAATGCTGCGCATTGCGGCCCCGGCAAGCAGCCCGTGGTCGGGAGCGGAAACCATGCGAAATCCTCGGACGTGAGTGGGTCCAATACCTGTATGTTGAACTCGCGTGCCGAATCCCGTAAAGAACCACTTGAAGACGATAAGTCGTCGCTGCCGGACGGAGAAGATGCCGCACACACGTCTTGTCCTTGAGCATGAGTACCTAGCGTAGGAACGAGCCGGGCAGCATAGTCCTCAAAAGAATAAAGAAGAGGAGGACTATCGACTTCCGCATGTGCCTTGGAACGAAGGGCGGCCACCCACGAAGCGACCAGTTCCGAAGGCGTCGAGAGTGTCGTCGAGTCACTCCCAGCGGTGCTCAGTTTCCCGATTTGTCGTTGCTTTTCAACTGGCAGGCCACTGTCTCATGGAGATCACTGTTGCACCATAAACAATAGTGGAATCTCGTGCGTGCTTTGTACGCCATTTCGGAGAGACTGAAGTGGGACCATGGGGTTGGAGCTGTTGCACCGGGCCCGGGGCTAGATGCGGTGTTTGTCTTCGCCTTGCCGCGTCCTCGGCCTTTGCCGGGGCGGCCACCTTCCCGGGCTGCGGCGAGTCTGTCCCCTTCATTGGCAGACACGGCCTCGCCAGTTTGGTCGTCTGGCGTTGCCGCCGTGACCACGACCACTTTTGGCCGATGCTGATCTCTACTCAGGCCTGGCGCAGACGAACGCTAGAGATTCTTGGCCTCCTTGTTCGTGACAATAATCTGCGCGGCCTTGTCGAAGAGTTCTGCCGGTGTTGTGAGGGTGTCCTCAACGTGAGTCAAGGCATTGCCCAACGCCGGACACGACCTCGAGATGAAGTAGTGCTTGATGGCTTTGAAGCCCTTTTGAATGTCTGGAACGGATGTCAAGCGTTGGTACTCGGCAATCCAATCAACACTCGGCAGCGTGCCTTGTTCGAAGACCATCAGCTTGTCCATTGCCTTGATCTCCGGCGGCTCTACTTGGAACCGCTTATGCCACGCCGCCTTCAGATCATCCCAGCTGATCTTGGTATGCAAGTCGGCAGCTACCACTCCATGCTTGGACAAGAGATTGTCCAACCATGCTTGGCACGCGCCCCCCGACCGGGAGTACAAGTACCCGTGGTGCTTGTGTTCTTTGACGTAGTGTAGCTGCAGCGTGATCTCGAACTTGCGGAACCATGGAATTGGGTCTGTCTTCATCGAGTTGCAGAAGATCTCCTGCCCATCGAACTTTGGAGTTGTCTCGCGCGGTTCCGAGCTCGAGTGGTTGGCGGCAGTACAGATCCGTTGCTCCAGTTGTTGCGTTGCAGTTTGCTGTAACTGCACGCTGTCCTTGAGGGATCCGACGTCAATCTCCAATGCCTCAAGGCGATCGGAGGTGTTGGAACAGCTGGCAATGGGGGCAGCGACGGGTCGCTGCTCCAGCCGATGGAGACGGCTGTGGACCTGAGACAGCGCGTCGTCGAGGCTGTGGATGTCCTCCTCCTGTGTAATGCACGTGGCCAGGAGGTCTCTGAGATGGCCAAGGAGGAGAGCGATCTTGTTTCCACTCTCTTCCAGATTGCCATTCTCGGCCTCGGCCCGACAGTCTGCTGCCATTGTGAGCAAGGCTCGCTCTCTGCTGAATATCTTTTCACGACGTTGAACTCGTTCTTCATCGGCAGCCTTTGCTGCTGCCTCGACTTGCTGGCGCTGCTGTTCGATTGCCAACAGATGTGCCTTCTTGGCGTCCTCTGCCTTCTTCTTTGTTGCGGCTGCTACCGCATCCGACCATTGCTTAGCTTCTGTAATCAGAAGCAGCATCCGGGCCTGATAGGCCTCGTCCGTTTCCCCGGACTTCTGGTCCATGACGGGTGTTTGTGAGCGCAAAAGCATAGACCAGCCCGGGGGCCTGCTGACGTGGTACTCCCTGCTGCTGATGTGGCACTGCTGTCGGTTGACGTGGTCTGCGGATGTGGTCTGCTGATGTGTCCTGCTGACGTGGTCTTCTGACGTGGCCTGCTGATGTGGCAACTCACCAATGCCGCCGTGGGGGGTACCCGGAGACAGATAGAGAAGGTAAGACCAGAGGGGGCAGCAACATAGGTGGGGAGGGGTGGGTGGGATAATCACCCAGATAAGGAGCCACTAATCAAAAAAGAAAAGTTTGAACTTTGCCCAAAAAAAATTCGAGAAAATAGAAATCCCGAGTTTTGCAAGTTCAGTAGGTCTCCCAACCTCCCTTGAAGTGTAACAGTGTCAATGAGAAAAAAAATTTGAATGTCAGACTGACAATGATTATCAGGTAGTGAAAATAAATAGAACTGAGAATAAAAAAAATTCCGAAAAGAAATAACAAGTATTCAGACTTACTCAGATGAGAGTATTCGCAGTTTGGAAAATGGTACTGCAAGATGGATTTCCCGTACCGTTTTTAGAAAAACGAATTTCAGAAAAAAATATTTGGAATTTCCGAATAACGGGAAATTGCAAAAGGAGATCGGAATTTTCGAGAAAAAATATTTCAGATTCCCAACAACGAAATTTTGGATTTTCATAAGAAAAACGAAAACGGAAATTTCAGATGTTGCGCTATTGCGATTTTCCACCACAAAAATAGCGAGAAAACGAAGTCCAAGAAAAGGAAAAAAATTCGATTTTCCGCAGTGAGGTCAAAATCGTGATTTTGGGGGCTAACTGGTGTGCTCTAATCAATCAATCAAGACTAATCAGCTACCTAGTCTCCGCACACGTGTCAGATCAGATTGTCCTGATTCTTGTGCCGTGTTCCGATACCAACTATTACATGCCCAGTTGGGCGATGTACATATAAACCGAGGATCCGCAATGTGATAAAAAGGACTGAATGGACAATGCAGTGCAAGTGGAACCTCAACAAGCAATGCGCATTCGGATACATACAAAATGGTGCTTTATAGCGTAGGGAAGACTTTAGATACAAGTCCTGACCTGACCGGGACTGACCCCTTTCACGTAGTACGAGATAGCGAAGCAGAATGCTAGAATACTAATGACTAGTCCAATCTGAAACGGTATTCACGAGTTCGCAGTAGCTCATGCAGATCCCAGGGCTTGATCCCTAGTCCCCACCTTACCTGTGTACAGTATTTGTGTCGACCCCTAGAGTTGAACCCGTGACCTGTGTATTTGTAACAGCTGGTAGGTTGTCGTAGGGGCCCATAGGTAGCAGGGGTTCGATCTGTAGACCTGTCAAATAGGAGTCCCAGTCAGGTCTAGCAGTTGTAGTTGTAGCTGTCTCGAAGGGTCAAGGTCGTAGCTGCTACAGTCCAGAAAGGTCAAGGTCGTAGGTGCTACGGTATCGAAAAGCCAAGTCTACAGCCTTCCGGAAGGTCGGAGTAGTGGCCTTTCGAAGTTGCCCACGTTTAGGCTGAGGCAAGTGGGCAAGTGGTGAGGCAAGTGGGCAAGTGGTGAGGCAAGTGGGCAAGTGGTGGAGTCTACCTGTGCCGAGTCAACAGTCCCAGTCCTAAGCAGTCCTGGTCCAGTCAAGCAAGTACCGCATGGGACTGTGTGCACTACGGGCATGGGAAAAGGGCCAGACCAACGAGCTGCTGAAGTATAAATCAAGAGGCAGCGCCCAGTCATGGATTCATTCCTGCGTGAGCCATGCGGAAGCGCTGCCACAAGCGGCTTGTGCGAGGTGGTCTGCAGTGAGCCCGAGGACGAAGTGGGCGAGAGAGAAGGAGTGTAGCCATAGCGATAGGGTAGTAGCGGCCGTAGCCGCCATAGCTGTAGTAGAGTTCAATGTGTGGGTGTGTATGTGTTCAGAGTATCGCGTGTGGTATATCCAGGGTGATCCTGTGTATGCGAACAGTGAGTTGTGTGGGCGCTGAGTCGCCATAGCCATCGAAGTGAACTTGAATCTGAACTGTGTTCTCGGTTACCATATCTCTGAGTTC